TAGCTGTGTGTAAGATGTGTGTGGCTGTGTGTAAGCTGTGTGTAGCTGTGTGTAAGCTGTGTGTAAGCTGTGTAGCTGTGTGTAACTGTGTAAACTGTGTGTAGCTGTGTGTACGCTGTGTGTAGCTGTGTGTAAGCTGTGTGTAGCTGTGTGTAAGCTGTGTGTAGCTGTGTGTAAGCTGTGTGTAAGCTGTGTGTAGCTGTGTGTAAACTGTGTGTAAGCTGTGTAACTGTGTGTAAACTGTGTGTAGCTGTGTGTAAGCTGTGTGTAGCTGTGTGTAAGCTGTGTGTAGCTGTGTGTAGCTGTGTGTAAGCTGTGTGTAGCTGTGTGTAGCTGTGTGTAAGCTGTGTGTAGCTGTGTGTAAGCTGTGTGTAGCTGTGTGTAAGCTGTGTGTAGCTGTGTGTAAGCTGTGTGTAGCTGTGTGTAAGCTGTGTGTAGCTGTGTGCGTGTGTTGTCTGCTGGCCGCTTGCTGCCTTGTCTGGCGAGGGGGGTGCTGTTCTTCTTCTGCTGCTGTTCTTCTTCTTCTGCTGCTCTCCCCCTGTGGCAGACAGCCCGAGGCAGCAAGTACCTCCATCCCACCCCACAAGTGGACCTCATTTTCATTTGAGAAAGAGGCCAGTTGGAGAGAAACGAGGATTGGGGGGGGGTATTGAGGACATTCATCAGCACGCATTTACATACACAGACAAAGCTACCCCCGATAGCTGTGACCATACTATAGGGGCAAGTGCTGTTAACGAGCAGCACTTTTTGAAGGCCGTAACAGCACACGAGGGGGGGTGAGTGACCTTCACCGTTCCCGGCCCGCCTTTGTCTCCCTGGTAGCGACGTGTACGCACCACGCCGGATACTCATTTGAGGCTGAGTCGACTTGGAGGAGGGCCAGGGCCCATTAGGTTAAATCGTCACTGGTGTCGGTGGCCGTGAGCGGGAATTCAACTCGAGCAACGCAACGCGCTGACAGCTACACTACCGCTCCCCAAATTCCTGTACACACAGAACTTCAGCGCAGTCGTATTGTGATCAGTTTGATGATTTGTAAATCTCACGGGTGGAGTTTGCGGGGGGGGGGGGGGCAGGGTGGGCAACCCCCCCCAAAACTAGACACCATATTTATCTTTTAGCAGTTGACGACTACATTAGGGGCCGTCCATAAATGACGTCATGCTTCAAATCGTTTTAAACTATTGTCATTGTAGTGCGTATTTTATGTGGCGCTGCACTCTGATGTAAGATAAATCATTTATTAAAAAGTCTTTAAGTAGAACGTGTTGTCTATATTTATTTAAAGTTGCGCATTTTGATGTGACGTCACATTTCTCAACCCTCCCCCGTCACATCGTCACAAATGTCTGACCCCCCCACCCCCCCCAGGTGCGTGACGTCATTTATGGACGGCCCCTTATATATGTGCGAAGGACTGCGAATCCCTGTCCACCCCCCACCAAAATATCGAAGTCAAACCCCGCCTTTGCAGTCGAAATACAATTATAATGCGGTAATAAAAATGCATGTGTCCAGGCTCGTGTTTTCAGGAGGGGTGCTGCTTTTTTGCGATGTCTGGGTCAACCGCAGTCATTGTGTGTGTGGCAGGCTGGAGGCAAGCTGAACACCCATCACACAAGGGGCATCAATACTCACATGCCCATCCGCAAGAGGCTTCATGAGCCTACTTACTGTCCTGCCACCTCCTGGCTACCTTACAGCCCCCGGTGTGGCCAATCGTGAGTGCTTTGCTTTGAAAGGGAGAACTAAACTGGAGTACGTACCTTGAAACCCGTAACACTCAGAAGCCCCACACAGATGCCTTGAGTCCATTGCTGCACTGAAATCTCCCGGACCACCGCGGAGTGGGGGGGGGCGATGAGGTTGCAATGGAATGCTATCCCCCAGCTCACCCGGGCCACCCCGTAGCCATGTGGCCTGCAACTGTCTCTGCTCGTTCGAGTGAACCTGTAAGCTCGTGGCCTCGTCATGTGCCGCATTAGCAATGAAACCCAAGACCGGGTAACGCTCCTGATCTGCGTCAGAGGCGCTTTTGCAAATTACTTATTGTATCCATCAGGCTGCTCGGACAAGGACGTCCGATGCGATATTGGGTCGCTCGCTAAAGTCAAGGACAGCACGTGACGTGTTCACATTTATATGAAGTCGTTTGCGTTGCGTGAACACGGCACAAATAATAACTTGCAGCCGTCTGTCAGTTGCGCTTGCTGTGGGTGTAGGGCTCCTCACGTCGTTGTCGGCCCTTGCGGTGGGTTGGGTTGGGGGGGTGTTTGAACATTCTGCGGCCAGTGCAAGATTGGTGGAGGAGGTTGTCCAGGACCAGTTCTGATATCACTCACCCGACGGATGTTAGCCAAGGCTGAGAATTCTAATTCAAGCCACCCGGGTTTCGATGCGAAGTGTGTGAACCATCGTGCCACTACTACCCCCCATAGCTTGAATATTGCCTTTTCTAATTTGTGTGCGGGCGATATGAATGTGCTTTGAAAACATTGCTGCACTAAAAAGAACACAACCTTTGGCACATGGGCATATATTGATGTGGACACAAATACGTACAGGTCTTGAGTCAATCCCCTGCAGGACGATGGCCTCCCCACTCCGTGCACGTTGGGGTGATTCTTGGGCTTATGCTTTGCCACGCTGCTCAGTGCGGGTCTGTAAAGTTGGGTATTGTTGACTTAGGAGCATAGATGTTACCACGTCCCAACAGCCACCTATCTTCTTTCATACGGGAGAGTAATGAGCAACTGTGTATGTTGATACTGAGGTTGGTGAGTCAGTTGAGGGCTGCGGGTGTGATGGTGGGAATGTTTGAGGCCCTGCCCAAGATTGAGTGAAGTGGGCATTTTTGGACGATGCGATCCACAGTTTGGCTTTTACAGCCACAGTCCCAATGCAGATGGCTACTTTTCATTTTCCACCGGTGGAATAGTTGGCAGCACCTGCGGTTCAAAGGCTGACCGCGTCTTCAGCCACCTAAGGCAACTTATTCTACGCATGGTGGTCACCCATCGAAGCACTATTCATGCTCATATTCCTGATTAGCTTCTGAGATATGGCGGGATTAGGCGCATTCCGGCTGATTTGGTCATACGTGGACTCATACACGTAGTATATGTGTATAAATCATTTAATGTAAATAATATTTGAAATGCACAGCTGCAGTTTTATATACATCCTGTGCTAACAAGGCTATTCAAGATGATGAAAAAGGCTGTGTTTTTGGCTGTTGTCAAGCTAATTCTTTGTCCGTATAAACGCTCGTTAGGGTTACCTAATTGTACGAAATGAAATGTTTCCTTTGAAGTTAGAGGAGAGGAATTCCACAGTGAAGTGGTGTTTATCTTCAGCTACATCCAGGCCTCGCAAAGTGGACAAATGTATGGTTCATACCCCAATCTCAGCCCGGTGGTGTGCGATGAAAATTCAGGCAATCGTAAAATAATCATCGTTGACCTTCACAAAGGATTGGATTCAAAATCAGCTGTCCCAGGCTAGGATCAAATTTCACACGATAACTTAAATCCCCTGAAACCCCAAAACGGCCATGAGAACCCCTGCATAACGTGCCTGGGTCATGGTCAAGTCGGCTATGTTGAATCTGCTGCTACAGCTTGTGAATGTATGCCTACATGGCCCACACCTGCAAGGCTACACATCATTGTGGATACGCGCTTTGTTTAGGAAATCCCACACCGAGTTCCAAGACACTTTTTTGTCAGGATCCTACAATGAGATGTTTCACCGTTTCCATCGTATCAATGCATGCTTGCCATTACCCTGATAGATAGAAAGAGGGGCATGGATTTGAGAACACTGGCAGGTTTATGATATAATTCAAATTGTTAGGAAAAAGTAAACGAAACGCATCAAAGTTCACCAAGGAGAGAGTGATTAAAATAATCTTGTTAGAAGGTCAGTTTAACACGTAGGCTTTCGCGACCAATATTATCCATAACAGAGTTTTTTGGGGTGAGAACGTATTAATATAAATGTGTCGTTAAACCGGCCACCACCCGACACAGCACACTAGTAAGGTTTGTCACGTAACAAAGCATGCCAATTCGTTACTAGTTCAGCACACCGGTATGTTGGAGAGTAAATTGTGAATGTTGTGGGTTTACCCTGCAACACACCGGTGTGCTGAACTAGTAACACATTGGCATGTTTTGTTTACGTGACAAACCTTACTAATTGGCTGTGTCGTGTGGTGGCGGATTTAACGACACAATTATATTTACGCGATCTAACCCACAAACCTCTATGGATTGTTAGAAGATGCTCGCTACATAATTACATTGCATGATCGTGAGAGATGGTAATGGTAGTGTAATGATCATCCAGCATCGATCATGGCTGCCGATATTGATGAGTATCTTACATGTGGGAGGAAACTGGAGTACTCAAGAGAAAACTCATGCATATGAGGTGAAAACACTGAACATATGTACAGACAGGTCACAACCATTTGCTGTACTGCTATTTCCTGGCAACTTTTCAGCTCAGCAGCTTAAGGGTTTTCGCGCATTATGCAATGGCGTTTGTATTATATATTCTCTTTAAATGCAGCTGTATCTCAAGATTCCGTTCAAACTGTGGGACGATCATCACAGGGAACCACTAAAAACACGGAGAATGCACACAAGCGCACATATATCCATGTTTATATTCGTGAGGTTAGGTATTGGCAGGAGGAAGACCTCGAATGTAGACTGAGCAGGAAGGCAGTGAAGTCGGCAGCACGGATGGCTGGTGGGAGACAAGTTCCAAACTTCAGTGGCAGAAGCAGAGATCGAGCCACCTCCCGATGATAATTCATCTGTCTCACCCATACATCCACAAGTTGTTGCATTTTAGGACTATGCTACCGAATCGTACTTAGTGTGTCAGACCAAGTACACTTGCTGATGACTTGGCGAGTACGCTGACGAACACACATCACGATCCGCAATGCACACCAGTGTACAATACTCTGAAGAGTTATTACGCAAATAAAACTCAGCGTCAAAAAAACCGTAGACAACGAGCCATGCGTTTGGAAGTATTTAATGCTCACGAAGCATGTCGTCCTCACCCCACGTCTAGCAAGGGGCTCAGGTTTGGCGACGACTCTGGGGCGGGTTCAGCACCACTCGCCAAGTTCAACTCACCACCCCTGCACGCCAACTCCAAACCGAAGCCTCGTGTACCCCCACCCTTCACCCCCGCCACTCGCTCTCCCCGTTTTCCCTCTACCGTGCCTCTCCCCTCTCTGCCTGCCTCTCTCTTTTGTGCCAGCAGTTGCCTGTGCGTCATCATTCATTCAGCTGGGAGCCAAGTCCACGGGAGTTCAAGAGTGGAGGAGCGCAGAGCAACTTCATTGACGCACGCCTTGCGCACCACGGGCGAACCGCTCCGCCTGAGAATTTACACCAAAAAAAACCTCTCGCTCGTCCAACTACGCCCCAGCGAACTTATAGAGACACTCTAGGTAATTGACGTTTAGCAGAGTGAACGACGATATACTTGCAATCATATAGGGAGGCGATGACAGTGAATTGAACCAGATTTGGACATTTCAACTTGAATACTGTAGCGTGAGAACACGCGTCGATCTTCCCCGCCGGCGTTTGCAAAACCTCTCATTTGCGATTCGCGTTGTGAACTCTCAAATTGCATGCACGGCAATCGTTCCTAGCTTATAGCCCCGCTCATCGCGCACCGAGCACGTACACGCCTGCATTGCATTAAGCCGGGCTCGCCGCTGGCTTGCAGAGATGGCCCGCGCGCTGCTGCTGAGCAGCGTGGTGGTGGTAGTGGCCCTCGTGCTGTCCACGTTGCCGTCCGCCGCATCTCACCGACCCTACCGGAGGCTGGCGGCGGCGCACAGAGCCGCATCTGCAGGACGGGTGGCCGCGAGCCAGAGAGCTGCGGGGACCGGGGCCGGGACTGCGACCGGCTCGAGGGGAGGACCCCAGAGTCAGGCGAACCCGGCCGGAGGAAGGGCGCTGGGAACGGCCGGGCGAGGGGTGGCGACGGCGCGCAAGACGGCACCGCAAGGAGCGCACGGGAACGCAAAGCGGAACGCTGCTCCGCCGCACGTGGCCCCTCCACTCACTGGGTAGGGCGCGTGAGCGGTGTCTCTGTGTGCGCGTGTGTAGCAAGGGGGAGCGGTGGTGTAGCGGTCAGCGCGCCGCGCTACGAACCCGAGAGACAAAAGCGGCCGGGCGTGGTGCTGGCCACCCACCCTCTTGTGTGCCGTGCCGACCTTCATGGGTGCTCGCTAACAGCGCTTGCCCCAACAGTCTGCTCAAGCTATAGGGGTGGCAGCGGGGGGGGGTCTTTGTATTTGTGCAGCATGGTGTCTGTACGTGCGCGTTAAGGGGATGTTGTTGTTGGCGGTGTCGTGTGTGGTGGCACGATTTGTTTAGACCGCGCCGCGCATTTCTGTCTATGCCACATTACGCACGAGCCGCACCCCCCACCCTCCCTTTCTTTAAATTTACAATCGCTGGTGGTGATGTACGCGAACATTTAACTCGCGAGGGGGGGCTCGCTTTGGGCTGCAGATAGGACGACTCTGGGGGGTGGGGGGTGATGATTCGAGAAGAGCGAGAGAAAGTTGCGGCGTGAAAAGTTTCGTCCGAGAAAGACCGCTGCGGACACGTGCGTGCTGAGCGGAAATGCGCGCGCGATGTTTAACCCTCAAACAGCAGAGACAATGAGCGATGCATTGAATACAACATACTCGCGTGCGTTTAGCCCGAGGCGCTTAATCTGTGCACACATGTAAAACACATATATACAGTATAAAATTTGCACAAAATGCAAGTGCACAGTATATGCAGGGGATGTTTCGCCGAATCGTTGTGCGCGCAATGCAAACTTTGGTTTACAAACAGCCTCGAGCCTGCAAGCATTGCACGAGGCTGGCGGGGAACGTGTCGACCACGTGTGCGACACAGCCCATGTGCTCACAGCAGCAGCGGTCCGTGTCGACGTGATAAATACACGGGTGCGCTAAACGCGCGCGCAGCCCCTGCAATTTGCTCTCTCGCGTCACTGCTGGCGGAAGGGCCTCCACTCGAGGGTGTATGGCCCACTCACTGTTCCGCGTTGTCCAGACGTTGTTGGAAGACACGGGGGGCAACCCCGCACTTTACCCCACTGCACGCGACCTCTCCGATCGGTGAACGGAGGAAGTCGTCCATTTACAACCCCGAGGCCGAGAGAGGCGGGGAGAGATTTAAGGAAGTTTCCCAATGTTCAAACTGCGGAGTTCGTACAGCGTATTGATGTGGACTGTATTTAAGTGCATTTAGGATACGGTACGTGCTGATTTGATGAGACGCGCGTGATTATGTTTGTTAACGTGGTGTGTGTGTGTGTGAGTGCTGATGTGATGATACCGTGTGTGGGTGTGGATGCAGTGTGTGATGATGATATGATAACACGCGTGTGTTGCGAGAAAGACGGTGAGCGGTAGCGCAGTGGTTAGTGCACTGCGCTACGAACCCGGCGGCCCGAGTTCGATTCCCATTCACAAACCAACATTGGTGACGATAATCTGAACAGGTCTTAGGCCTTACCTAGGTTGACTCAGCCTAAAATGCGTACCAGCACTGGGGAGACAAAGGCGGCCGGGCGTGGTTGCTGTCCACAGATCCCCCTAGTTTGCCGTGTCGGCCTCCATATAGGTGCTCGCTAACAAGACTTGCCCCGAGTCTGGTACGGACTATGTGCATGTTTGTTCGCACCTTACGTAGCCAACTGGGCTAATCGGAGGTGCGGGGGAAGGACAAAAAAACTAAACACAAAAAGCAGTTCTAAAGAAATTAGTTTTCAATCGAGATGATTGAAAAGTGCGTGGCTTCAGTGGCTTCCCAATGTCGCAAGGAAGAGCGCTCCAGACAGCCGCAGAAGCGCGTCTGAAAGCGCGCGGGGGCAGTGATCGTCTCTGTTCCATGGTGGGCCAAAAGCCGCTGCGAGGATGGACCGGGAGTCTGCGTGATGCTCTGCAAAAAAAACTGTCTCGACGGCGGAATCTTTGCTTTTGGTTTGGATGTGCGACAGAGCGAACGTGTGCGGTGGGCAGTGCTGTCCGGGATGGGCGCTCAACGCCGCTCTGCACAAGTGCAACAAACGTGAGTGGAACGCTCGTTTCGTGACCATAATTCTTCGGACCTCGGAAGTTTTTCAGAAATTGAGCCTGGCCAGTACTTGTATGCGAGACTTGCCTGGGAATACAATAGCAGATGTTGCTGTAGGGTTTGCGATGTGAAGTGGCCAGATGATGTCAGCACGCCAATGGATTGGTGACTTTATATGTGCGGATATTAGGTGCGCTTTCTCCCGGTCACGATTGTTTCCTCTGACAAGCCAACATGAAAGACCAAACATCCGAATCAGGTTTCCTCCAGAAAAATAAATGAATATTGAGTCTCATTGAACCATTCACGAGTCAATACACTATAATAGAGTTGAATTGAACCTTTCATGATTAAATGCATGATATTGTTATGTAATTAAACGTAAAAAAATGTATAGGCGCAGCCCTGAAATCGCTTTCTCACGGCATTGCTGATAGAAGGGTCTCCTCCACTGGCGGGTAAAAGCAATGTTAAGATACACAACCTCCCTTCACTCTTCATGTAAGCGTGGTTTATGTAAGGAAAGGTCGCTTGACCGCACACGCTGATGTCATCTTTGAACGTTAAATTGCATCAGTTTACAGAGCGCGCAGTGAGCGCAGCCCACCAAATCCAACAGAATTTAAAATATGTCCTGGAGGATTGTGCGAGGTTTGAACACGTGTTGAATGAGCCATGCTCGCTTGCAGATCCACGGCTTCGTTTGAACGTGACAACGATCATTGTATCTATAGCAACAATAACGACTTAGTAATTTTGAGACCTTTGTCAATCTACTGTTGGATGGATGCCTCTCCCCCACAATCTTCGTTCATAGAGGTATTTTTTTACCATACTTCACCACGCTGGTCCATGCGAAATTGGTGAAAGAGGGGGGGCTGGTGTCAAGACAAGTTCAGACAAAGCATCACTCGTAATTTGATGTCAGTAGTTAGGCATGGCCGGGAATCGAACACAGGATTCAAGTTGGCAGCGCAGAGGGCTGACCATTGTACTACCGCTCCACCCCAACGTGCAACAATGGAGAGAGGTTTATTGCATATGCAGTGATATATAAGGCGAGTTGTACACGTGACAAATGTGTATCTGACCTGTGATCTCATCGCTATGGTGCGTGTGTATTTTCATTCACGTGGAGTACACAGCGTGGTTCCATGGTATAAGCATTAAGCCGAACACGAATACTCTCACACATTGCGTTGACATTACCCAGTACATACCATCCATCTCCGTGCGAGACAAACATATTTCCTTATTTGAAATGCAGGCATAGTACATGCCTCGTTTTTTAAAACGTCGCTTATATATGTTACTCGTGTACATTTGCGTGACTTATAATTAAATAATGATGATGATTATAATTTGCATGAAGGCCATGCCGGTCGCGAGGTTTTTTTGTTTACACCATACTTTACCATGCTGGGCAATGCGGGTTGGTGAAGGAGCCCACGACCGATTCAGATATCACTCGCCATCGCCAGGAGTTGAACTCGGTCTGCCAAGTCCAGAGCACAGTGTGCTGGACCCGCCGGGGCGGCTGAGCGACACATTGAACGATCCGATCACAATCGGAATGTTGCGAATTCCAATCCTGGTTTGGGTGGTTGACTCAGCCATGACTCAGCCCATCATCCCTCCGGGGTCAATTAAATGAGTAGCACTTTGTGGGAATGTCAAAAGTGGTTGTCCTATGGTAAGACTCAGCCCCGCCATAGGGACGTGGAATTACTTAGAATTGGCTCAGGGCCCTAAACGAGATATGAGCACGGTTTCAATCTCTGCTCATTGCGTGTCTCTCGGTGTTACGTTCGGCCGACGCATATTCAGACACACGTATTAATGAGTGCATCATTATGGCCCTCACACCTCGGAAGCTAAGCAGGTCTGGACCTGGAGAGCGCTTGTATGGGTGCGGTGGCCACCTTGCACAACTGAGTTGTCACAGGCGGCGGCAGAGCCACGTGGTGGGCAGCAGATGGCACTACAACAAAAACAGTTGCCGTACGAGACCGTGCTTCCATGCTCACGCATCTCTGCTCCCCCGCCCTCACATACCCGTGCGGCAGTGACCAGCGTGGTGAAGTATGGTCAAACAACTTCCACGGAGGCGCACTGCGTGGGGAAGCTCTCATAGCGGCAGTTGATTTTGCAAAAGGGCCCTTGACGGTACCGCGCATATATAATATTGTTTTGTAGAAAGAAAAAAACAACATGAAAGTGTTACGGTACGTATCATTATTCACAGGGGTTTCACCGGTTGCATATTCGAGGCTTGACTCTCGTTGAGAGTTGACACGCATCGAGCGCCTGATTTGGGGCGCGCGTTGAACCTCCGAGGAGTTCCGCTGTTGACGCTGCGCTTAGCGACTCGCGTGTCGGGGGATTTGGTCGCAATGAACACTTGTTCCCGTGGCTCTGCTCCCCCGGGGTCTGTCGCGGTTATTCATTTCTTTGTTGTTGTTGTTTTTGTTATGATTATTACCCCTGCTACTATTATGACCGTGAGTCACGCACGTGATTTGGTGACGCCGCTAAAGTTGGCGAGCGGCGCACAAATAAGATGCACGCAAACACGTTCGTCGGTAACACTGCCTGAGGCGACGTTTCAGGCAATGGCCCGTCTTCGTAGCATGTAGCCAGAGAGGAAGCGTTATTGCCCCAGACGCCGCCTATTATATACTCTTTGAAGGCAGTGTTAATGACGAATCTGATGAGTAGTTTGCCCTGCCACGAGAAAAGGCACAATTCAGACGCGGCGGTCTCTCCTGTTCAGTGTGTACTGTGCTACCTCGAGTCCAGCTGGTGGCGCCCTGAGAGATATATACAATACCCTCTGTGCATTGTGGTTGCCTTTATGAGTGTAGGGATAAATAACCCTTACACGAACACATGTGCTTAACACAATTAAAACACGATACTGTGTATATGCAGCTGGGATAGCTAATGTTAACACATAACCGCGTCTTTTTTTATCAGACAGATTATTTATTTATAACCATGAGAGACCATATTATGCTTAAAAGCCCATTTCTTCTGGGTGACCTGATAAAATGCTTAACCAAACCAATCGCTGGTATATTTAATAGCGGTAATTATTGTTTCCCAAGATGAGCTTCATTGGGCCTCAAGACACACGTTTGCGGGAGGGTCCTGCATTGGGCTGTTTGGCGAATAGCAATAATTATTGGTATTCGCCAAATAATTATAATTAGTGTTTAGCGCGTGGGAGGTGAACCAGAGCCCCAGGTTAAAACTGACGCATGCTGAGGGTGTAACACTCAACACAGCCATCTCCCGGTCACCTCGTAGCCAATGCCAAGATCTGATGGTCACCCGTTAAGGAATGTCTAACCAGGGTCATACTTGCTTAGCTTGTGAGGTTTTAGAATGTTGGAAGCATTTTGTCGCGATTTGGTTGGAGGGGAATTGTTACTCCAAAATGTCCTTCAAAACAGTTTTAAATCCAATCATGCATGCCCTCCGCTTTTTTTTACATATATATTATTGTGGTTACAACTGGCATACATGCACTTAAGTAATGAAGCAATTAAAAATCTTCAGTCTTACAAATAACACGTAATATGTTTTTGGCCTTTGCTGTGTACATGTCTAACATTCCTTAATGCTGTACCGTGCATGTATAAATATACATATGTTTGCCTATGTAGACACTAAAGATAATCCTCTGCTTAGCCTTATAGACCACGAGGACAAGTGCTCTTGGCAAACACACACTGACATATAAAAACAAAGACAGAGATCTCCAGTTTAATCATATATACCCCAGGGGCAAGTTCTGTGAGTGAGCACCTATTTTGTCTGGTATTGCACAATATGGGGTCGCATGGTCAGTCCCAAAGCCTGACTACTATTATTTCCTGAGTGCTGATGTCTGCACACCATATTAGGTAGTATTTAAGGCTGAGTCGACCTTGGGGACACCCACGATAGGATTAATGTAATTGTGCCTGGAAGTCAAGCTCAAGCCACTGGGTCCATAGGCCAGTGCACTACAAAAAAGGCCAAGACCCCCGTATTGCCTATGAACAGACTGTTGGGGCAAGTGCTGTTTGCGAGCACCTATGAAGGTCGGCACGGCACACGAGGGTGTGGGTGGCCAGCACCACACCCGGCTGCCCTTGTCTCCCCAGTGGCGATGTTTACACATCACACCAGGGACACATATGACGCTGAGTCGACCTTGGGGAGGCCCATGACCGGCTCAGATAATCGTCACCGGTGTTGGCCGTGAGCGAGAATGGAACTCGGGTCGCCGGGTTCGTAGCGCGGTGCGCTGACCGCTAAACCACTGCTCCCTAACACAAATAACTCCCGTATAGCCTTAAACAAACCACACACACAGAGTGACACGTTGGGTATGTCCGTTGCAAATGTGTGTGCCCAATTTAACTGCATACCGTGGGTTTACCAAATTCTCCACCATCTTCTCTGAGAGAATGTGGCTCGGTGCATACCGTTGAAATGCAGCTTTTGTTGAAAGAAGGGCTGCTGTTGGGACAACCATGCCTCAGGTTGCTAATCTAAAGGCCGTGTGAGTTACTAGTAGATTGTGGAAAGAGAGAGAGAGAGAGAAAGGATACGTATTACAACCTTGCTCTTTGAATAATAATATAAAATATCAACCCTTTGTAAAGCCACTGTTGGATAAAGGCTTTCTTATGTCGTATTGATCGTGCAAGTTGTTTGAACTCGCTTCACACTGGTCAGTGCCAGGTTGGGGAAGGGAGGGGAGAGCAAGACTCGTCGATGTATCGCTCGCTGGGAATCGAACTAGGGTCACTGGGTTCATAGTGTAGTGTGCTAACCCTTGTGCCACCACTCCCCAGTTATTTATATATCTTAATTCGTTTTTTGTTGTCTGAGCCATACAGTAAATAAAACGTTCCTTTTGTCATATTAACAATAGGTAATTGTTGTAAAACTTCATCTGAAAAGCAATACTTAGGCAGACACAGTACAGTACAATGTTTTAAAAGACTCAATCTTTAAGGTACGTTATTTAAAATACAGTAATTCACAGTTATTGATATTCAGTCTAATGCACAAAAGCATAGCAGCAATAGTTTCGGCTTCACAATAAATGTAGGAAAGCCAAAACAGCTTAAATATTGTTGGAATCTATCAATGGGTAGAATGGTGGCTGAGTGGTTTGCACACTGCGCTATGAACCAGGCGACCTGAGTCAGATTCCCGGCCATGGATAACGTCATTGGCGAGTGATATCCGATCTGGTCCTGGGACTTTGTTTCACCAATACATACTCACCAGCCTGGTGAGGAATGGCAGAATAACCCCCGTGACCAACTCAGACAAATGAAGACTTTCATCCAGCAGTGGATTTACAAAGGATTGCGAAATGTATGGCCGAGGAGAGTGGTGGTGCAGTGGATAATGTGCCACGCTAACCACTGCGTTTTGAACCAGGTGTTCCGAGTTCAATTCCCGGCCAAGGCAAATATCAGTGGCGAGTGATATCTGATCTAGTCTTGGGACCTTTCCTCACCAACCCGCAGCTCCCTGTGTAGTGGCGTATAATAAAACAACCCCCATGACTGGCATGGCACGGAGAGGTCTTCATCCAGCAGTGGATTGACAACGCGCTCTAAATTGTTATTATAAACATGTACAGCCCGGTTCCGTAATAATGCAAGCGCTTGACGTGATGCGGAGGTTCATTTATATCGCGAATGCTTCTATTGGAGAGGACAGCTGGCCCTGTAATTTCCAATGGGAGTTAAATAAGCAAGAAGCCCCACGTGGTGTACCTTTGAAAGTAATACTGTACACTTGGGGCTCTTGTATAATTGCTTGCCCTCTGCAGTGTTTTCCTGTTTGAAAATGGGATGAAAGGAAATTGCTTCGTACGCAGGGCAAAAAAAAGCAGGCCCACAGTTTTTAACCTTTTTCGTCGCCCAGGAAAAAATTTTCATATAAAAACCTGAAAGTTATACAGTGTAATTCACAAGCTGAAGTCACTGTCTCCGAAGTGCCAGGAGTACATTGCTTGATGAGAAATTAGGTTTTGGCTAGGTGCGCAGACCATCTACACTTGCGACTTTTGGAATTTCCGAATGAGGTCTAATTATTGGAAAATGATTGGAGCAGAATGGATCTACGGAATCTGCGTTGGCATTGAGTCTCGAGTCTGCAGGGTGCTAGTCCTTGTATTGACGCAGCGGTAGGCACTGCTCTGTTGAGTACGCTGCCACTTTTAAAGGTATCTTGTGCTGCCGTTTTCGTCAACATTTAGATATTCGGGGTCTGCCAGCAGATTTAACTGTTGTCACATGCAGTCAGAGAGCGACATGGTCGGAGAGTTTATTTAACCAGGTAAGAACTTGAGACTACATAGAATAGTTTTACTGTCCCCCCTGTAAGTACAGGAAGGCGGAACAGCAGTAAAGTGAATTGTTCACGGCACTACGAATCTTGCAACCTGAGTTCAATTCATGAGTGGCGAATTATATCGCAGTCGATCCTGCTCCCCCAACCTCTCCCCATTCACGAACTTGCATAACCAGTGTGGTGAAATATTGTCCAGCAACCCCAATGACTGATTCGGCATGGGGGAACCTCCATCCACAAGTTTGTTGATAAAGGGGAGAGATAATTATTCTAAGATGCACAGATATTCAAGATGCCTTACAACCATTTGAAGATACGTAACCATGTCCTTGTGCTCTGCCTGCACAGCGGTGTGCACGCCTCCGTGCCAGAACAAGGGGATGTGCCTCCGGCCACAGCTGTGCCTCTGCAGGCCGGGCTTCCATGGCCAGAGCTGCGAGGTGGCCAACCTGTCCCGGGGTGGCCACCACCCACGTGCCCCCGACAACTCGGTGCCCGCCGCCCCCGCCGCATCCGTCCTGCTGCCTGGAAAACAGGACCCCCGCGCAGCTCCTCACGGCGCACACCTGCCCAAGACGCAGTAAGTGTGGAGGGTGAATGAGTCCCACTCACACCTGCCCAAGACGCAGTAAGTGTGGAGGGTGAATGAGTCTCACTCACACCTGCCCAAGACGCAGTAAGTGTGGAGGGTGAATGAGTTCTACTCACACCTGCCCAAGACGCAGTAAGTGTGGAGGGTGAATGAGTCTCACTCACACCTGCCCAAGACGCAGTAAGTGTGGAGGGTGAATGAGTCTCACTCACACCTGCCCAAGACGCAGTAAGTGTAGAGGGTGAATGAGTCCCACTCACACCTGCCCAAGACGCAGTAAGTGTAGAGGGTGAATGAGTCCCACTCACACCTGCCCAAGACGCAGTAAGTGTGGAGGGTGAATGAGTCTCACTCACACCTGCCCAAGACGCAGTAAGTGTGGAGGGTGAATGAGTCTCACTCACACCTGCCCAAGACGCAGTAAGTGTAGAGGGTGAATGAGTCTCACTCACACCTGCCCAAGACGCAGTAAGTGTGGAGGGTGAATGAGTCTCACTCACACCTGCCCAAGACGCAGTAAGTGTAGAGGGTGAATGAGTCTCACTCACACCTGCCCAAGACGCAGTAAGTGTAGAGGGTGAATGAGTCCCACTCACACCTGCCCAAGACGCAGTAAGTGTGGAGGGTGAATGAGTCTCACTCACACCTGCCCAAGACGCAGTAAGTGTGGAGGGTGAATGAGTCTCACTCACACCTGCCCAAGACGCAGTAAGTGTAGAGGGTGAATGAGTCCCACTCACACCTGCCCAAGACGCAGTAAGTGTGGAGGGTGAATGAGTCTCACTCACACCTGCCCAAGATGCAGTAAGTGTAGAGGGTGAATGAGTTCTACTCACACCTGCCCAAGACGCAGTAAGTGTGGAGGGTGAATGAGTCTCACTCACACCTGCTCATGTCGCAGTAAGTGTGGAGGGTAAATGAGTCTCACTCACACCTGCCCAAGACGCAGTAAGTGTGGAGGGTGAATGAGTCCCACTCACACCTGCCCAAGTCGCAGTAAGTGTGGAGGGTGAATGAGTCCCACTCACACCTGCCCAAGTCGCAGTAAGTGTGGAGGGTAAATGAGTCTCACTCACACCTGCCCAAGACCCAGTAAGTGTGGAGGGTAAATGAGTCCCACTCACACCTGCTCAAGTCGCAGTAATTGTAGAGGGTGAATGAGTCTCACTCACACCTGCCCAAGACGCAGTAAGTGTGGAGGGTAAATGAGTCTCACTCACACCTGCCCAAGACCCAGTAAGTGTAGAGGGTGAATGAGTCTCACTCACACCTGCCCAAGTCCAAGGAACTTCAGCCGTGTCCAATGCTTACTTGTTTCAAATATGAAAATAACACACACTTGTAACCGAGGCATAGGCTTGGTTTTTTCACCTTTGTGGGCTGCACATTAACAGTGGGAATGTAGTAGGAAGCAGACAAAAGCCTTGCTTTGCGTTGGCCGTATAATGTGACACTGACATTGTGTGTGAAACATCAAGTACAGCAATTTGGAAATATGAGAACATTGATCTGTTTCATTTGAAAGTTCGCTACAGTGATATCATGAATAATGATTTAAAAAGAGAATGTACAGCCGATTATTATTTGGATCTTTCGGTAAAGTCACGTAGATAGAACAATAAAATAATACAAATACAAATGAAAATAAAATGAATAAAAATGATAATAAAATATAACGACGTTTCGATCGCAACACAAGTAATCGTTTCACCTGATGACGATTGCTTGTATTGCAATAGAAACGTCGTGACATTTGTATTATTTTTTACTATTTTTTTATTCACTTTATTTTCATTGTTATTATTTTATTGTTTTATCGACGTAACTTTACCGAAAGACCCAAAGAATATGAATTCCTGCAGTCACGAAAGCTATAAGTCAAGATTTACAGCCGATTGTCAATCCAATTGCTGGGTGAAGGCCTCCGCATGCCGTGTTGGCCAAGGAGGTAGTTTGTCCTTGCTTCACCACACTGGTTACCAATAAAGGTTTGTAAGGAGGACTTCAAAATCACTCACCACTCATGTTAGCCTCCATAGCCGGGAATCAAATTCAGTTGGCTGGGTTGATAGTGCAGTGCGATAACGACTGACGCATCGTTCTCCCCCATGGCTCAGATATTCCCGATATAAAATAAAAAATCCACCCATTTGATTGTCATCAGAGGCATGCGTTTAATCCCTAAATTTATCATACTGTTTCTCCTTTGGGTTATTAACTCGAGTCGGACCATCGTTGGAATGTGACGTTCTCTTTGAGCAGTATTTACACGTGGAAAAGCATCTTTCCTTTTAACCGCTCAAGTGTTTTTTACTCAATCGTTCCAACTCCTCGCAAAAAAAGAGGAAAATGTATGCGGAGGGAGAAGAAAGCCACGCGGCGTTTGCACGAATTCAATTGCAATGTGACGCCTGTGAAAAGTAAAACAAATCAAATAGCTGTACAAGCACTACAACCTGCACCGAGCCTCGGCACTGCAGTGCTGATTTACAAAGGTGTCCTGCTTCTAAGGGCTGTTGAAATGCCGGCGGGGGGAGTGAAGTATCATCACTCCTGAACTTCTCATAACTCTTCTCTTACCCCGGAACGCCTCATGACGGCAGTGGAATTGTTCGTGCTCCGGACCATGACAGACAAAAAGGGGCCTTCTCAATGAATACCAAAACTTCCAAACCCCTTTGATGTATATTTATTTGCTGGCTGTACATTTCTTTGTTAAATATATTTTTTTACAGATGATATTACAAAATATATTTCTCCTGTATCCGGACGGGTGGCGCTGTGAGAGAGAGAGAGAGCACTCGACTTACAACTAAGAAGAAGGACGACAGTTCACATCCCTGTCATGGCCACGCCTCGCATAGGCGGCGAGTAAAATTCTGATTTCTTGCTGCCCTCCCCCCCACCACCACTTTTCACTAACATGAAGTTACCAGCATGGGGAAGTATGGTCAAACATCCGCCCATGAAGTATGGACAAACATCCCCCCATGAAGTATGGACAAACATCCCCCCATGAAGTATGGTCAAACATCCCCCCATGAAGTATGGTCAAACATCCCACCATGAAGTATGGTCAAACATCCCCCCATGAAGTATGGTCAAACATCCCCCCATGAAGTATGGTCAAACATCCCCCCATGAAGTATGGTCAAACATCCCCCCATGAAGTATGGTCAAACATCCCCCCTATGACCGACACCGAGTGGGGAGGCCATTACCCAGCATTTGGATTGACACGACTCGACTAGCGGTCAGAAAATAACCCAGCAGCAATATCAGCACAGCTTCATGCAGAGTAAAACGTCGTTGAATAAAATAAGAATATGAAAAACGTGGTTGTTGTATGGATAAACTGGCCATTACCACAGGAGTATGGAACTTGTATCACTGGCTCTGGACTCACCATGAGAGATGAGCCTTGCCCAATACTGGTTGAATACTCTTGACTCGATACCACACATGGATGGCAACGTACGAAAGCAGTTCAACGTACCATACATACACGTGCTCTCGGAGGCATTGTTTTTCCGTTCGTTTAATTCCCCGATAACAGCAGAGAGACTGCAGGCAGTGGTGTGACCCCCCCCCCTGCCCCGCAAGAGACATCAGAGCGTTGTCTCTGGCACATCTTCATGAGGTCTGAAAAAGACTAACAAAAAATTGGGTCAGTGTGTGTTCGCGGTGGTGTGCAGAGTGTTAATGAAGTGACTCCCAGCGTTAATCTGCCTTGTGACGGAACATTTGAGAAAACCATTGGGTAGGCTGGAATTTTTGGGCAATGTTCCAGCTTTATGAGTCGAAAGAGGAATTATGGTTAGGCCTGCTTTCACCCACATTCCACATCCAATCAATGCACATTTCATCATTCGAGTAAGCATGCTCCACATTAAATTCTAAAATTAACCGTATTCATTGGAAATTCTTACACGGGGGCTATCAAGCCCACTTAACTTGAGAACTTCCAGAGATATAAACCCATCTCCTTGTCTGTGCTAGCTCAATGCTCTAACAGCCCGGTGAACCTGCGTTACCTACAATAATATATGTACATACGGCCCCTTTGTAAATCCATTGCTGGATGAAGTTCTCTCCCCACGCTGTTGTGGACCCATGGGGATTCGTGGTGAACCAGGGGTGAGTGGGTGAGGGAGCCGGTACCTGTTCAAATACCACTCGCCACTGAATCAAAGTCGGGTCGACGGGTTCATAGCGCAGTAGGTGAACCACTGCACCGCACCGCTTCATTCCCAGCGGTATCAACCTAGAGTATACAATGACGCACGTGTAGAGCCAGGTTGTCAATCCGTTGCTGGATGTGGTCGTCCCGACGCCTTGTGGGTCCTGAGGGTTCTTTGACCAAAGCTCACCACGCTTGCCAGTGCAGTGCGGTGAACGTCGGGGGAGTACAGAACGGTATTTCACTACTGTAGCGACACATTTATATCAACGGGATACACATTTCTAATAATAACATAATCGCGTATTTTAACTCTCTGCGCGTACACTGTATTCTTATACTGTATAAATATGGTAGCGAGATGTTAACTACCTCGCCTGGTATACAGGAGGTCGTGGGTTCGATCCCGACCCTGACGCCTGTATATTCGGAGTTTGCACGCTCTCCCCATAGTTGCGTGGATTTTTTTTCTCCAGGTCCTCCGGGTTTTCCCTCCACGTTAAGAATCAACGCGCGTTTTAGAGTATTGGACTGCTGTAAATTTCCACATTATGATAAGCCACTTCGTTAACCTATCATTTGTGTGGCCAGATGGCTTCTGAAAAAGAGCTATATAGCTCAGTGGGTCTTAATTGGTAAAAAATAAAAATCGTATTTTTTTGTTTATTTTTTTTTAATACGATCCATGCCTTTTTGCGTCCACATCCTCTAGCCTTAAATACCGGCGGCGCTTCGCTCCTGGCGAGCTGTCAAACGGCTGAAGAGCGTTAAGCGTGGCGAATGTGCGAGTCACACGCTTGCCTCTGCT